AGAGTGCGTGTGTAAATGTGTGTCAGTGCGTGTAAGTGTATGTGTGTGTAATTTTGGTGTATTTGTGTGTAAGTGTGTGTGTAAGTGATTGTAAGCGTGTGTGTGTGAGTGTGTGTGTAAGTGTGTGTAAGTGTGTGCAATGTGTGTAAGCGTGTGTAAGTGTGTGTGTGTGTCAATGTGTGTATGTGTATGTATGTGTGTAAGTGTGCGTAAGTGGTTGTAGGTGATGTAAGGGTGTGTGTAAGTGTGTGTAAGTGTGTGTGTGTGAAAGTGGGTGTGTAAGTGTGTGTGAGTATGTGTAAGTGTGTGTATGTGTGTGTTTGAGTGTGTGTGTGTGTTTGTAAGTGTGTGTAAGTGTAAGCAAGTGTGTGCAATTGTGTGCAATATGGGTGTAAGTGTGTGTGTACGTGTGTAGGTGTGTGTAAGTGTGTGCAACTGTGTGTAAGTGTGTGTAAGTGTGTGTAGGTGTGTGAAAGTGTGTGTAATGTGTGTAAGCGTGTGTAAGTGTGTGTAAGTGTGTGTAAGTGTGTGTAAGTGTGTGTAATGTGTGTAATTGTGTGTAAGCGTGTGTAAGTGTCTGTAAGTGTGTGTAAGTGTGTGTAGGTGTGTGTAAGTGTGTGTAAGTGTGTGGAAGTGGGGTAGTGTGTGTGGGTGTGTGTGTGGGTGTGTGTTTGTGGGTGTGTGTGTGTGTGTGTGTCTGTGTGTGTGTCTGTGTGTGTGTCTGTGTGTGTGTGTGTCTGTGTGTGTGTGTGTGTGTGTGTGTGTAAAGTGTGTGTGTGTGTGTGTGTGTGTGTGTGTGTGTGTGTGTGTGTGTGTGTGTGTGTGTGTGTGTGTGTGTGTGTGTGTGTGTGTGTGTGTGTGTGTGTGTGTGTGTGTGTGTGTGTGTGTGTGTGTGTGTGTGTGTGTGTGTGTGTGTGTGTGTGTGTGTGTGTGTGTGTGTGTGTGTGTGTGTGTGTGTGTGTGTGAGAGTGTGTGTGTGTGTGTGTGTGTGTGTGTGTGTGTGTGTGTGTGTGTGTGTGTGTGTGTGTGTGTGTGTGTGTGTGTGTGTGTGTGTGTGTGTGTGAGTGTGTGTGAGTGTGTGTGAGTGTGTGTGAGTGTGTGTGAGTGTGTGTGAGTGTGTGTGAGTGTGTGTGAGTGTGTGTGAGTGTGTGTGAGTGTGTGTGAGTGTGTGTGAGTGTGTGTGAGTGTGTGAGTGTGTGTGAGTGTGTGTGAGTGTGTGTGAGTGTGTGTGAGTGTGTGTGAGTGTGTGTGAGTGTGTGTGAGTGTGTGTGGGTGTGTGTGAGTGTGTGTGAGTGTGTGTGAGTGTGTGTGTGTGTCTGTGTGTGTGTGTGTCTGTGTGTGTGTGTGTGTGTGTGTGTGGTGTGTGTGTGTGTGTTCGGCACGGGCTCGTTGCACCAGCAACGGTACAGCCTCCGCTGAGCAAACAATCTGCCACAGCGAGGGAAGACGTATTCTGCCCTCCTACTCCTCCTCTTCCTGGAGACGGCCGTGCGCAGCCCCCAAGCTTCGCCATCGTTCGTTCTCTACCTTCCCCTCCCTCCCCCCGCCCCTACCCATCCTCCTTCCCGCGGGGATGAAGAGGGAGGGGGAGGAAGTGGGGGGGAGAGGAGAAGAATGAGGAGGAGAAGGAGTGGGCGGAGGAAGGGGAAGGGGGGGAAGAGGCGGAGGAGGGCGAGGGGGACTCAAAGGAGGAGGAGGAGGGGGAGAGGCAGGGAAGAGGAGGGAGGAGGAAGAGGAGGAGGAGGTGGAGCGAGGGGGCCGGTCCGCCCTCCTCCCTCCCCTCCCCCCTGGCCGCTCTCCTCTCCCCCCGCGGCCCAGGAGATGCTTGGGCTGGCCTCCCGGGCGGTGTTCGTCCCCACGTTCGGCTTCGCGCGGGCCTCGGCCGCTCTCGAGCGAAGAGGAGGGAGAGATGGACACTCCTGCTCCCCCTCCTCCTGCTCCTCCTCCTGCTCCTCCTCCTGCTCCTCCTCGTCCTCCTGCTCCTCCTCCTCCTGCTCCTCCGTTCTCATCCTCCTGCTCCTCCTCATCCTACTCCCAATCCTCATCCTCGTCCCCATCATCATCATCATCATCATCATCATCATCATCATCATCATCATCATCATCATCATCATCATCATCATCATCATCAGCATCATCATCATCATCATCATCATCATCATCATCATCATCATCATCGTCATCATCACATCATCATCAGCATCAGCATCATCATCATCATCATCATCATCATCATCATCAACATCAACATCATCATCATCATCATCATCATCATCATCATCATCATCATCATCATCATCACCATCACCATCATCATCATCATCATCATCATCATCAGCACCATCAGCATCGTCATCATCAGCAGCAGCATCATACTCATAATCATACTCATACTCATCAGCATCATCAGCATCATCGTCATCATCATCATCAGCAGCAGCATCCTCATCGTCCCCATCATCATCAGCATCATATTTCTTCTTAGTTTTACCATTATTATCAGCACCAGCATCATCAGTAGTAGAATCATCATCATCATCATCATCATCATCATCATCATCATGATAATCACCCTCACCATCATCATCATCATCATCATCATCATCATCATCATCGTCATCATCATCATCATCGTCAGCAGCAGTAGCAGCTACACCAGCATCAGCATGAACATCACCATCATCAGCATAGCCATCATCATCACCACCACCATCATCAGGAATATCATCATCACCATCATCATTGTCATCGTCATCATCAGCATCATAAGTATCGTCATCATCAGCAGCAGCATCATCAGCATCATCATGTTCAGAATCATCATCAGCATCAGCATCATCTTCATCATCATAGTCATCATCGTCATCATCATCATCAGCAGCAGCAGCATCGTCATCATCATCATCATCAGCAGCATCATCATCAGGGGAGGAAGTCGGAGGAGGGAGGAGGAGAGAGGAGGAAGAGGAGGAGGAAGAGGAGGAAGGACAGCCAGGAGGAGGACGAGGAGGAGGAGAAGGAAGAAGAAGAAGAAGAGAATAAGAAGAAGAAGAAGAAGAAGTGGGACGGGGAGGATCGTGGCAGCGCTCGCCGAATCCACATGCCATTAGAAACCCGGAGACAGGGGGCGGGGAGGGCAAGGAGGAATGATGAGGACGAGGGAGAGGGGGGAAGCAGGTAGGCCGGGCGGGAGAAAGGGGTGCACGGAAGCGAGCACGCGGGGGAGGGGCTCCTGGCGGTCCCGCGCCCCAGATCTGCGACTCGTGGGGCTCGCGGCGACGGCGACGGCGACTGCGCTGACGCGGACGGCGGCGGCGAGGCGGCGGGGCCGCGCCCGACCGCTGGCCGCGCCCGAGAGGTGCAGCCCCCCGAGCGTGGCCGTGACGACGGCGGCGGCGACGGCGGCGGGCGCAGACGCCGACGGCCGGCGGCGAGGCGGCGCGGGGCGGCCGCGCCCGACGGAGGTGCAGTCCCTGAACGTGGCCGTGGCCTGCGGGCTGCTGCTGCAGCGGCTCTTCGACCTGTGCCCGGAGGCCGCGCGGCGGCGGGATCGGGGTCCGGGCGGCCCCGCGGGGCCCCCGGCGCGCTGCGCCTCCCCTGACCTTCCAGAGTGTTTAAAAAATAGCCCTCCAGACCCATAGACCTATCTGGACTGCCTAAGACCTCGACAGGAAATAAGATGTCGAAGTCCTGGTGCTATTTTTTGAGCCCTCCTGAAAGGTCAGGGTCGGGATGGGGGGGGGGGACCCTCCCGTGGGGGAGGCGAGGCCTTGGAGGGCCCCGGCGGAGGGCCTCTTGGAGCATCTCCTGGGGCTGCCCGGAGGGCCCCCTCGGGGCGTCTCGAGGCCGCTGCGGGGCCGTCTTGGGTCCAGCTCACGGCCGTCTTGGAGGCATGGTGGGGCCGTCTTGCGCGAGCGGGCGGGGGCTCCCTCGGAAACGCACCTCCCCTGCTGCGCCCGTCTCGGAAGGCAATGCGCGCCGTGTTCGACACGTCCAGGCTGAGCACGCGGCATGTTGGCTCGGCACGCCTTGCTTGGGCCACGTTTTGGCGTCCGTACGGCGCCAGACCCACGATTTCAGCCTACATGATCCCAGCGTCGCGTGCTGAAAATTCGACCAAAGCGCGCTCCACCAGCCAAACGCCCCCCAAAAGGTGGACCACCCGGGAGAGCAATGGGGGACTTCAAAGAACCCATGCAGATCTCCGACGATTGGGTCTTTTCAATCCCAGCGTTTTTCCTCGAGTTCGGCCTTCAAGGCCCGTTGCCAGGCCCAGGGACCATCAAACCTTGATCTTGGGCGTAAAACTGCCCTCGGGGAAGGGGTCGGGAGCTCTGGGGCCGAGATCGAAACAAAGGTAATCGGATGTCTTGGGGCCACGATTTTACAAGCCAGGATTTTGCGAGATCTGGGCCAGAGAAGACGGAATGAATCGAGGGTGTCTTGACTTTACTTCCACGGCTGCAGTCTCCCTGGATTCGCCAATGCCTGGGTTCATCAAAGGCTCATGTACTGAGCCCTGACGTCGTCGGCGTCGGCGTCGACGTCTGCGTCGCCAGCGGCGTCATCGTCGGCGTGGTGATCGGCGGCATCATCGTCGACGATGTCGGCGTGGATGCCGTCGACTTGGTCGGTGTCGTCGACGTCGTCCGCGTCGACGTCGACGTCGCATCGTTTCTGTTCCGGCCCTGGGCGCGACGGCAGGACGTGCGGGTTCCTTTAATGTTTTGTTCGACGTGGTTGAGCCGCCCGTTGAGGTCCGCCCAGGCGAGTAGCGATGCAGGGACAGAGGATCTGTGTGTTCATGCGCCCTGCTTGCTCCTAGTCTAAACGCCGGGAATGGGGGGCCCTCGTGATCCTCCTCTTTCTCCACCAGGTCCCACCCTTCCTCTGTCTCACGCTCCTGTTCTCATCAGTTTCTACTTCCCTTCTCCTGCTGCCACTCCTCATCCTCCTCCTGAGCGCCCGGGGTCGTCTGCTTCACCTGCCTCTGTTCCTGCTTCTGCTCCTGTTGCGTTTCCCCTCGTGCTCATGCTCCTCCTCCTTCTTCTCCTCTTGCTCCTTCTGCTCGCCCAGGTGTTCCTCCCTCGTGCCCCTACTGCCCCTCCTGCTCCTCATTCTCCTTATTTCCTTCGTGTTCCTCCTCCTCCTTCTCCTCCTCCTCCTCCTCCTCCTCCTCCTGCTCCTTCTTCTCCTCCTGCTCCTCGCAGCTGGCACGCTCGTCGTCCACAGAGGGAGCATCCCCCTGCTCCTCCTGGCCGCCCTCCTCGATGCTCCTACCCGTGCTCACCATGTGTTTCCTCGCCCTCTCCTCCGTCGGCGGCGAGCCGGGGGGGGTGGGGGGCAAGCGAGAAGGGGCGAGCCTTCTCGGAAGGCTCGGAAGCCCGCCCCGCAATCTGAGAGGTCTGCTAAGCCTTCCCCGCAGGCACGGAAAACTGCTCAGAAGGCGCGAGGGTTTCTGAGAAATCCCGCCGCCCTCCGAGAAGGCCTTTTCCTTCGCACTTCCCCCCCCCTCGCTCGACGCCGACTCCGTCTCGTGACCCCTGGTGTCTAGGCTCCCTAGATGGGATCGGAGCAGATGGGGTCGGAGGATCGCGCCGCATCGCCGAAGCATCGCCGATGCGGCTCGATGTGGGGCCCGATTTGCTTCGCGTCGACGTCGCCAACGCACCGCCGACGTCGAAGATGCATCGCCAGTGCATCACCGATGCATCGCCGATGCGATCCTTCGACCCCATCTACCCCGACCCCATCTGGGAGGCCTCTATGGTACTTCCCCTCCGCTGCCGCGGGGTCGCCCAGCTGGGACCACTGGCGGGGCGGGGCGGGGGGTGATGCTGGAGAAGGCGCCCGGCGGGCGCGGGGCGCACGGCACGCGCCCAGGTTTGGCGCGCGCGGCCCGCGGGAAGGGAGGGGAGGCGAGGGGAGAGGGTGGAGGGGAGGAAAAGGAGGAGGAGGAGGAGGAGGAGGAGGAGGAGGAGGCAGGGACGGAGGGAGGGAGGGGGTGAGGGGAGGGAGGGAGGGGGAGGGGACAAGCTAGGTGAGCTCGCGTCATATCTGACATCCTACCCCTCCCTCCCATCCCGTACCATGGCGCAGATCCCCTCTCTACTCGCACAGTCGGATGTCAAGCAGGGCGATGATCCCGAAGGGGTACGCGATGCATTGTACAGCACGGCGTGGCATGGCGTAGAAGAGCACCGCGAAGCGTAGTATCAACCTGGCATTGCATTGCATTGCATGCCGTGGCATGGCACGGGAAATGACGCCAGCGCTGCAGCGGGAACACAAGTCGAAACGAGCGGAAGCGCGGAAATGAGGCCAGCGCTGCAGCGGGAGCACGATTCGGAACGAGCGGAAGCACGGAAATGATGCCAGCGCTGCAGCGAGAGCACGATTCGGAACGAGCGGGGCCCGAAAATGAGGCCGGCGCTTCAGCGAGAGCAGCATTTTGGGAAAAATTGCAAGCGAAAACCTAACTAACTCCGGGGAAGGCTTCCCGGGCGCCAGAAGCAGAAATTCAGCATTTTCAAAAGAAAAGATTGTATTGGAATGGCCTTTTTTCGGCGCCGCCTCGGAACTCGATTTTCCGGCGCCCGCCGGAACCGGCTTCGGACCCGGCCCGGGCGCCGGCCCGGGCGCCAGCTCGGGCGTCCGGCCCGGGCGCCGGCTCGGGCGCCGGCCTGGGTGTCGGAATCGGCCTGGGAGGCCTCCCGGGCTCCGGAAGAAATTCTGCATTTTCAAAAGAAAAATGTGTATTAGAATAACCTTTTTTCGGCGCCGCCTCGGTACTCGATTTTCCGGCGCCGGCCGGAACCGGCTCCGGACCCGGCCCGGGCGCGCGCCGGCTCGGGCGTGCAGCCCGGGCGCCGGCGGAAATGATGCCAGCGCTGCAGCGGGAGCACAATTCGGAACGAGCGGGGCCCGAAAATGAGGCCGGCGCCTCAGCGAGAGCAGCATTTTGGAAAATGATCCCGGCAAAGCAACCTAACAGTGATGTGTAGGAGCATATCTGGAAGCATTCCCCTTAAGATTCAGATGAGAATCCTGTTGTAGAATTCTACTGTTCTCGCAGTCGTAGTCGCATTCGCGATGACAGTCGCAGCGGCAACGGCAGTCGCAGTCACAGCCTCAGCCTCAGCCTGCATCAGCCTCAGCCTCAGCCTCAGCCTACCTCAGCCTCAGCATGCCTCAGCCTCAGCCTCAGCCTGCTTCAGCCTCAACATCAGTCTGCCTTCAGCCTCGGCCTCAGCCTCACCCTGCATCAGCCTCAGCCTCAGCCTCTGCCTCTGCCTCAGCATCAGCCTGCCTCAGCCTCAGCCTCAGCCTGCCTCTGCCTCAGCCTCAGCCTGCTTCAGCCTCAGCCTCAGTCTGCCGTCGGCCTCGGCATCAGCCTCAGCCTGCCTCAGCCTCAGCCTGCATCAGCCTCAGCCTCAGCCTCAGCCTGCCTCAGCATCAGCCTGCCTCAGCGTCAGCCTCAGCCTCAGCCTCAGCCTGCCTCAGCCTCAGCCTGCCTCAGCCTCAGCCTCAGTCTGCCTTCGCCTCGGCCTCAGCCTCAGCCTGCCTCAGCCTCAGCCTGCAGCCTCAGCCTCAGCCTCAGCCTCAGCCTGCTTCAGCCTCGCCTCAGCCTCAGCCTCAGCCTTCAGCCTCGGCCTCAGCCTCAGCCTGCCTCAGCCTCAGCCTGCATCAGCCTCAGCCTCAGCCTCAGCCTGCCTCAGCATCAGCCTGCCTCAGCCTCAGCCTGCCTCTGCCTCAGCCTCAGCCTGCTTCAGCCTCAGCCTCAGTCTGCCTTCAGCCTCGGCCTCAGCCTCAGCCTGCCTCAGCCTCAGCCTGCCTCAGCCTCAGCCTCAGCCTCAGCCTCAGCCTCAGCCTGCTTCAGCCTCAGCCTCAGTCTGCCTTCAGCCTCGGCCTCAGCCTCAGCCTGCCTCAGCCTCAGCCTGCATCAGCCTCAGCCTCAGCCTCAGCCTGCCTCAGCATCAGCCTGCAGCCTCAGCCTCAGCCTGCCTCAGCCTCAGCCTCAGCCTCAGCCTCAGCCTGCCTCAGCCTCAGCCTGCCTCAGCCTCAGCCTCAGCCTGCCTCAGCCTCAGCCTCAGCCTGCTTCAGCCTCAGCCTCAGTCTGCTTTCAGCCTCGGCCTCAGCTTCAGCCTGCCTCAGCCTCAGCCTGCCTCAGCCTCAGCATCAGCCTGCTTCAGCATTCAAAATGTGGCCCGGGAGCATGTGAGTTCTGGGAACTCGAAGAACACGAAGTGGCCTACAGTTGGCTCCAGGCATTCAAAATCATGCCCAGGAATTGAGTTTTGGGAGCTCGAAGACCACGAAGTGGCCTACAGTTGGCTCTGGGCATTCAAAATGTGGCCCGGGAATGGAGTTCTAGGACCTCGAAGAGCACGAAGTGGCCTACAGTTGGCTCTGGGCATTCAAAATGTGGCCTGGGAATAGAGTTCTGGGAACTCGAAGACCACGAAGTGGCCTACAGTTGGCTCCGGGCATTCAGAATGTGCCCCGGGAATGGAGTTCTGGGACCTCGAAGACCACGAAGTGTGTAACTGTTGGCTAAAAAAAATCCCCGGCATTTCCCCGGATCGCGCCCAGACCCCCTTGGGGCGTCATGATGCTTTCTTTTGACCTTATTAGAAACCTATCAGTCTTCGCTGTTAGGTAAAAATGCAAGCGAAAACCCAACTCCGGGGAAACCTGTGTGTAAAAAACAGTGCGCGGGGGGGGGGGGCGCGAGTATTCCCAAGACGTCATCAGGGGAAGGGGGAGAGTAGAATTCATATTGAGTAATTGTGGAGGGAGGGGAGGGGGAGGCAGGAATGGAGGGAGGGGGAAGAGACAAGCTCAGTGCGCTCGCATTATATCTGACGTTCGAGCTCTCCCTCCCATCCTTTACCATGGCGTAGGTCTCCTCCGTATTCGCACAGTCGGATGTCGAGCAGGGTAGAGGTCCCGAGAGGGTAAGCGATGCATCGTAGAGCACGGCATAGCAGGGCGTAGACAAGCACGGCAGAGCGTAGTATGTCATAGCATGCCGTGGCGTTGCGTGGTTAAGAATTGCATCATCAAGCATTGCAACGCAAATAATGGCATCGCACAGCGGCACAGAACAGAACATGGCATAGCATGGCGTTGAAGATCACAGCGTAGCATGGCGTGGCACTGCGTAGTCACTGCACATCCTAGCATTGCAGCTGAAGGCGTGGCATCGCACAGCAGAACACCACATAGCATTGCATTGCATGCCGTGGCATGGCATTGGAAATAGTGACGCCAGTGCTGCAGCGAGAGCACGATTCGGAACAAGCGGAAGCGCGTAAATGAGGCCAGCGCTGCAGTGGAAGCACGATTCGGAACGAGGGGAAGCGTGGAAATGAGGCCAGCGCTGCAGCGGGAGAAAGATTCGGAACGAGCGGAAGCCCGAACATGAGGCCAGCATTTCAGGGGGACCAACATTTTGAAGAGAAGCCCAAGCGAAACCCAATTCCCGGGAATCCTGTGTGCAAAAACCAGTACGCGGAGGGGGGCCGAACATCTTCCGGACCTCATCAGAGGAGAGAGGACAGTACTATTCGGATTGTGTAACTGTCGAGAGGAAGCTGGGATAGAGGGAGGGAGCGGAGGGGGGAGAGGAAGCAGCAACGGAGGGGGGGGAGGGGGGGGGGGGGGCAGGGAGGGGGCGGGGGAGGAGAAATGGTGGAGGCGGGAGAGGGGAAGGGCTGGAGCGGAGCAGGGGAAAAGGGAGGAGAGGGCAGGGCTGGGGGAGGAGGAGGAGGTAAGGCAAGCTGCGTGCGCTCGGCCATATGTGACGTCCTACCCCCTCCCACCCATCCCCTGCCTTTGTACTGATCTGTTCGCTGTTAGGAGGCCACATGCGAACCCTACCCCTACCCTCCACTATTTCTGAGGGAGAGGGTGGGGTTCACTTCGCTCGGGAGCTCCCGAACGAAGTGAACCCCACCCTCCCCCTCAGAAATCGTGGGGGGTAGGGGTAGGGTTCGCATGTGGCCCCCTAGCTGTCCGCCAAAGGGTGCCATAGCGGGCGTGGACCCCCCGTCGTGCCATGCCCAACCGGAACGGTGGAGCTGTGTATGAAGGAGGAGGGCGAGGAGGAACAGCAACAGCAGCAGGAGCATGGGTACGAGCACCGAGAGGGGCAGGAGGACCAGGGGGAAACGGAGGAGGGGAAAGGAGAGTGGTGGCAATGACGAGGAAGGACCCGGATCCAGAATCGAGGCGCAGAGTGCCATCACGAATGGCAGGGGCAAAACGTCGATCCGAAAACGAGGCCAACTCTGCTGCGGGAGAACGGTTTCGAGACACCGATAACGCTTCGGTTGGAAAACAAGCGAAACAATTCACGGGCCCAAATCCTCGACGTTAGCAAAAACAGTCGGCGGAGGAAAATGTGTCCCGCTCGGGCTGGATCGATTGAGAGAGAGGAGACTAGTAGTCACGTTGATTAGTTGTAAAAGGAGGAAAAGGAGGAGAAGGAAGAGGAGGAGGCGGAGGAGGAGCGGGAGAATACAGGAGAGGGGAGAGACGGAAAGGATAATTGTGGAGAAGGACAGGGGAGAGGAGGAAGGATGGTGGAAGCGTGGAGCAGCGAGGCCACCACACCAATGGAATTGTGTTGGAAATGTTTGGCGGTGTAGCATGTGTCTCAAGAGCTCTCGCGTTACTCTATGCTTTTCTCCTGGGCAATGTTCTAACAAGCTGCGAGCTGACCCGTGTAGTGTGGCCGATTGCAGTAACGGCAGACGTGTATGCGTTTGTCAGTTTCGATTATTCCACACCTCGGGTTGGCAAGCGCTTGGGGGACCCTTGCTCTCAGTCCTATGGCCATAGCATCGGATCCAGACGAGGACACCAAGGCTTGGTCTGCGGGGAATGCTCGTCGAAAGGAGGTCTGGTCCAGGCTCTGCAGAGGCCTCCACCCCCAAAGATAAGGGGTGCGTGCCTCGCCCTTTCCTTGTCTCTGACAACACCTGCTGGTTAGCGTTGTCTTTGGTAACTCGCTTGGTGCTTTACCGCTTTGTTTCTCATCGAGTTGCGCGTGCTCGCCTTTGCCCGTCGTTTCAATGTTTCCCCTTTCTTGTCTCGACGCGCTCGGAATCGACTTGGTGGTGCCCTCCTCCTCCTCCTCGTCGGCGGCCGAAGACGGAACAAAAACAAACGGCCCACCGCAGTCCCGCGGCGACCTCTCTGGGCCAGCGCGGACCGCAGCGCGGAAGCGGGCGCTGGAGGCGTGCGCCGGCTCCAGGCGCGCTGTTTCCTGCAGGCTTTCTGTTGACAGTGATGGGGAAGTTCGGAGAGTGCGTTTGTTCTTTCTGTGGCCTAGCTGGGCAAAAATGGCCCGAGTAATTGTCAGGGGAAAACTTTGCAGATGCTGTTGTGGAGTATACTCCCGGGTTGGGATGTGCGGCAATTCTTCGGCCAAGACTACTCGGCACAAACAACTGCCTAAGTGGAGTGGGAGAGGGAAAAGGAGGAGGAGTCTACACAGACGCATGCGACACCAGCCACCGTCCCAGTGAAGCACTCTGTGTGGTGACCCTTCGAGCACAGCCGAGAACGCCGTCACATGCGGCACCTCTCCCATCGACTTGTTGAGAAGCTTTTATGCGGAATATTTGGGCCCTCTTGGGTCGTCTCGGGGCCCTCTTGGACCTTCCTGGTGCAATTTAGACAGTTTGGAGGGTCTCTCGGGGCCGTCGCGGGGCCGTCTTGTGAGGCCCTATTGCGTGAACATGGGGCCGGTCTTGGACCGTTTGGAGCCCTCTTGGAACCTTCCAGTGGGTCATTTTCGGACGCTCGAAGACTGCAAGTGAAGATTTTCGACCGAAGGGCATGGGTATCGACAAACATTGACAAAGGAGCATACATATGGCTGGCTTCTCGAGGCCCTCCTGCAGAGCGCCTCTTCGGGGCGGATGGGGTACATCTTGAGGCAGTGCCCAGGGAGCCTCGGGAGGCATAGGGCGTTGCATGCAGGTAGGCGTGAGGAGGAGGAGGAGGAGGAGGAGCAGGAGGAGGAGGAGGAGGAGCAGGAGGAGGAGGGGGGGCGCCCCGTAGCCCTTAGTGAACAGATGTGCAGAAACCATACCAGGCAGCGCGCGGCATGTCACGCTCCTCCTCCTCCTCCTCCTCCTCCTCCTCCTCCTCCTCCTCCTCCTCCTCCTCCTCCTCCTCCTCCTCCTCCTCCTCCTCCTCCTCCTCCTCCTCCTCCTCCTCCTCCTCCTCCTCCTCACGGTCGGACCGAGGCCTGAGATCGAGGTCGGTTCGGGGAGGGTGTTCGGATGCTCTTCGTGCTCGCCGGATGCTCCTGCGCATCTAAAGGGGCCCTGGGACACACAAATAAATACACAAATAACAGGATTCCCCATATGTGTTCAATATTTTCTGCTGGGTGTTCGTCTTCCACCCCACTTCCCATATTTTCCTATATTTTCCTGGGGATTGACGATTCATTGTGTCTGTGTGTTTTTTCCCCTCCTGAGCATCCTGGGGTGTTTTGGCCCGCGCGGAGGGTCTCATGTTATCCCTTTATGTTCGTCTTGTTCCCGCTCCTCATCTTGCGCCGCCACTCAAGGAAGCATGTTCCGGGAGCGCCCGAAGAGGCCCAGAACGTGGATTGACATTATTGTAATTAATTTGTTTTTTGGGGTGGGTGTTTTTTTAGCCTTCTCGCGTTTTCGAGCTTCCAACGCTCCAAGATGGCCGAGAAAGGCCCCGAAGACTGCCCCAAGATCGCCCAAGAGCATAATGCACGAGAGAGCGTTCCCACCGCTCCCACACTTCATTACACAAACTCTGGGCAACTGCGAGGCCGTCATATCGGTTGCCGATCGCGCTGCCGCGCCGTAGGCCCGAGCTCATTTGGTACAGTCGCTCTCACGTCGTCACTCTTGCTCCTGCTCGTCACTCCTGCTCCTCTTACGGTGGGACCGCGGTATAAGATCGAGGTCGATTCGGGGAGGGTGCCCCACCGATGCACGATCCAGGCAGCTGCGAAGGCCGCTATCGGCTGCTGATCGCGCTGCCGCGCCGTAGGCCTGAACTCATTCAGTACGGTCGCTCTTACTCGAGCAGTGGCGAAGTGTCCTGGCATAGGTCCACCAACGAATGTTCTACGAACCGTTAGTGTTCTGCACGAAATGTTATCATAACATTTCTGACTGATACGATCCTGATCAAACACAAGCACATCGGGCTTATGCTCTGTTTTTGTTAAGAGAACAGTTCTGGATTCTAAGAGAATTCCCGTGTAGGCCTATAGGAATGCCGGGACGGTCGATCCCTGCTCAATTTACGTCATCACCCCTGCTCCTCCTCTTACGATCCGACCGAGGAATAAGATCGAGGTCGGTTTGGGGAGGGTAGCTACCCTGATGCTCTTCGTGCTTACTGGATGCTCCTGCGCACCCTGGGGCGCTTTGGCCAGCGGAGGGCCCCATGTTCTGGAAGGATGCTCTCCTATCTTGGGTCCGGCAGTACGTTGCCACTCCTGCTCCTGCTCGGCCTCGCCCCCGCCTCCCTCCTCGCTCCGCGCTGCACCGCGCCCGGGGGCCCCGTGGAGGCTCTCCGCCGGCGGAGTGGCCGCCGGGGCCGACGGCGAGGGCGCCGGGGCCGGCTCGGAGGGCGAGGGCGGCGGCGGCAGCCCGCATAAGAGGGGGGGGGGGATGAGGGAGGTCGGGGGCGGGGGGGTGTACGTTCTCTGGCACGGGGGAGGAGGGGCGGGTGAGAGGGGGGGGGGGGAGGAGGGAGACGAGGGCTAGACGTTCCCTGGCAAGAGCGTCGGGAGGGGGGGGGGATGGGAATCGGCGGCGAGCGAGGGGGGGAGGTGAGAAGGAGCAGGCTTTCATGAAGCGTAAACTTGTTTCTGGCACAGGAAAATCATGTGGGGCAGGCCCGCTGTCGTTCACCTCCCCCCCTTTCCTCCGCTCACGCGCCTCGGTGCCTGCATGGCGGGCGTGCGGTCCTCGGCGCCAGCCCGCTTGTTCTGGAGCGGCGGAAGTAGTGTCTCCAGGTCGTGCGTCGCGCCTCTCGGCCCTGCTCGTCCGTGAGGCCGTGGGATCCTGGCAAAGCGTGACCGCGGTCGTCTTCTGCTGGGCCCGGCCTTCTGACCGCAGGGTTCCTTAATAGCAACGTGTGTTCGGCCAGGCTCCCAGTGAGAAGCCGCGCGCAGGGTCACTGCCTTCTCGCGGGCAAACCCAGGGTCCCTGCCTTCTCGCGGGCACACCCAGAGTCCGTACCTTCTCGCGGGCAAACTCAGGCCACCGTGTTTCTCACTCTCGGGTTTTGCTTTTCGCGGGCAAGTTCAGGGTCCCTGCCTTCTCGCGGGCACACCCAGAGTCCTTGCCTTCTCGCGGGCAAACTCAGGCCACCCTTCTCCCGAGCTCTGCCGGGTTCCATGTGGCAAGCTGCGTGCAGGGTCATTTCGCTGCCTTCTCGCGGGCAAGCCTAGTGGGGTCTTGCCTTCTCGCGGGCGCACCCAAAGTCCCTGCCTTCTCGCGGGCAAACTCAAGCCTCATTATTATCGGGTCGCTGCCTTCTCGCTGGCTTTGCCTCGTGCGAGGGCGCGTGCAGGTTCGTTGCCTTCCGGCCCTTGCCTTCTCGAGGGTACCAGGGGCCCCTTGTCGCGGGAGGATCGGGCCTCCAGGCTTCGTTCTCTCAGGTCGCTACCTCCCGCGACGCGCCCAGGGTGCCCCCTTCTCGTTGGGTTCCCAGTGCTGTGCGGCGTCCGCGCGGTGCAGGTGCGCAGCCCTGCCGCATGAGCGCCTGGACTTGCTCTTGCGGCGCGATGTCGCGCAGTCACGCGAAGGCCCAGAACTGCATTCTGGCGACTGTGCGCACTCTGGCGCAGGAGCCGCCCAGTTTTGGAATTGGCGCGCAGTTCCGCGCTACAGGGCGCAGGCGCGCCCAAACGTGCATTTGGTGCGCTATTTTGTGGCCAGATATTCTGAAGGGGGAGACCCTGCGCGCGCCGCTGCGCGCGAGTCCACTGTTGCCAGCGTTGGCAGGGCCAGGCTGTCATCCCGAGCGCCATTTCGGCATCTGGCGGTGTGCAGATTTCGATTCCACACGCTTTTGGCGCTGTTTGGTTGTGGTTATGCTGTTCTGGTGTCGGTGCGCCGAATCGCGCCCCAGGGGCGTTCGCAATGAACGCACGCCCTTGCAGTGCCCAGAGTGTGTCACTGTGCGCTGCGCTCTAGCCGTGAGCCTCGCGCTCAGACTGTCATCTGGGCGCGCCAAAGGGCTGCGCAGGAGCACGCATAATCGGGGTTAAATTGCAATGGCATGCGCTCGACCTGGCGGGACACGAGGTCGCGTTCCTATTGCATTTCTGGGCGCCATGAGTCCCAGAGCGCAGAGCAGGTCCCTACGTGCAGTTCTGAGCGCGCTACCGCGCGCGTTTGGACAAGCACCGACGCGAAAAACACCGACGCGGCAGAGAAACGCATTGTTTCTGGCTTGTGTGGTGGTTCGCCTCGTGGCCTCTGCTTGGCTTCGCCTGGGCCTAGCGAGCAGTGCGAAGCAAGCCCGGGTCAGCACTCTTCTCGGACCTTGTCCAAAGCGTTTGCTGGCTCGGCGCTCCCCGTGGGATGCCCGCGCCCACGGGGAGGAAAGGGGGGGTCGACTACTGGTTCGCCCGGGGTGCCGGACGCGTGCAGGCGGGGGCATATACCTTAATGTGGGGACGCCGCCCTGGCCCCGCGCCCGCACGCAACGGGGCGGGGCGCTCTGTCCGGATCCGTCCGGTCAGTCCCCGCTCCCGACCGGCATTTTGCTTGAAAAGGGCACTCGCGCCCTACTGTCCATGCCGGACCCCGAAACTGGGGAAATTCAGAATTTAATTCTAGTGCTGTGGGTGAATTTCCGCCTAGTGGCTCAGACAGCGGCAGCTTTGGCACGGAATCCGCCATCGACGGAGTCTGCAAAATTTGCCGGCGTCGTTGCATCCAGGGCCCGCGCCGCCTTGGTCCGCGCGACCACTTGCCATGGGCGCTTTGCTTGCCCGCGGTCGACGAAACGTCGCCTGTGCCAGCAGTTTTGAGCGGCCACCTTTCGCGAGTGGCTTCCATGCCGATTGCGGAGCTGCAGATTGCGCGGCGGTCGGCCCTTGCTTTCTGGCAGCAGCGGAAGCTGGTGACCGACCCACAGTGGCAAACTATGTTTCAAAGTTTGCCCGCGCACTGTCAGAGCGCGCTGGGGCCGCAGGAAATGCTCGAGGCCACTCGCTGGCCAGACGCCGCGTCGATACGCAATATCTGCCACGGTCTTTCCTTGGTGGGGCGATTGCCTGCCACCGGCATCCACAAATTAACCAACGCGTCTCTGGAACCAGCCGAGACATTGCGGTCACTTTTAAGCCGTCCGCGTGGACGGAATGAGGCTACCCAGAGCAGAATCGCCGCGGAAAGAACGGTGACGCCAGGGGTCGCGCTCAATGTTTGCAAACCTGCGCAGGGAAAGTTGATGAAGGCAAGGTCTTCGAGCCTCGAACATGGACACTTGTGTTTTAACGGCCCGTTCCCCCATCGTCCAGGGGGCGAAAGAGGGTGCGCCCAAAATTCGCTGCATAGATGACTTCACCGCCTCTTTAATGAATCGCGCGGTTGTACATAGCGAAGGGACTGCCCCAGACACACTTGACTCTTTGGCAGCACTCGTGCGCCACGCATCTGCCGGCCATTCTCGCGTCGCCATGCGGTGGAGAAAAGACGATTTCAGGCATGCTTTCAAGACTCTGCCAATTTGTAGCAGCCATTTGCTTCTGGCAGTGACGGCGTGGTCAGAAGCAGTTGCTGAAGGCCACGCAATGCAATTGCTTTGCTTGCCGTTTGGCTCGTCCGCCTCTGTGTGTCTGGGTGGGACCGCTTCGGCTTGGCGGTGCAGGGTGTCCTTCCTCGTCTTGTTCCTCCTCCTCCTCCTCCTCCTCCTCGTGCTCTTGCCCCTGCTCCTCCTGCAGTTGGCTCCGGGCATTGAAAATGCGGCCCGGGAGTGAAATTCTGGGGACTCGAAGAGCACGAAGTGGCGTACAGTTGGCTCCAGGCATTCAAAATGTGGCCCGGGAATGGAGTTCTGGGAACTCGAAGAGCACGAAGTGGCCTACAGTTGGCTCCGGGCATTCAAAATGTGGCCCGGGAATGGAGCTCTGGGAACTCGAAGAGCACGAAGTGGCTTACAGTTGGCTCCGGGCATTCAAAATGTGGCCCGGGAGTGGAGTTTTGGGAACTCGAAGAACACGAAGTGGCTTACAGTTGGTTCTGGGCATTCAGAATGTGACCCAGGAATGAAGTTCTGGGACCTCGAAGACCACGAAGTGTATAACTGTTGGCTAAAAAAATTATTCAGACGGAAGGACCCCACATGAGAATCTCTTTAGCTTGCATGGGGGTATCCTCCTGCCCCTTCCCTTCTCCCACCTACTCTTGCCTCCTCGTTCTCCTCCTGTTTGCTCCTCCTCCTGCCTCAACCCCTGCCTCTTCCTCCTCTTCTTGCCTCCTCCACCTCCTCCCCCTCCCCCTCGTTATGCTTTCTCCCCCTCATTCCCCCTGCCCCTCCTGCCTCCTGCCTCCTCCTCCTGCTCTCCCTCTCCCTTCTCCTCCTCCTCCTCCTCATCATCATCCCCTGTCCTCCTCCTCTCCCTCATCCGATTCCTCCTCCTCCTCATCTCCTCCTCCTCTCCCTCCTCCTCCTCCATCCCCTCCTCCTCCTCCTCCTCCTCCTCGTTTCCATATTCCTCCCCCCTCCTCCCCCCCTCCTCCTCCTCCTCCTCCTCCTCCTCCTCCTCCTCCTCCTCCTCCTCCTCCTCCTCCTCCTGCCTCCTCCTTAGGCCTCCTGCCCCCTCCTGGGGCCTCCTGGGGCCTCTTGGGGCCTCCTGGAGCCTTCTGGGCCTTCCGGGACCTACTGGGGCCTCCTCGGGCATTCCTCCTCCTCCTTTTCCTCCTCGTCCTTCCTCCCCTCAGCCTCTTCCTCTTCCTGCTTTCCTGTCTCGTCCTGCATCATCCCTCCTCCTTTTCCTGGCAATCCTCCTCCTCCTCGTCCTCGTGCGGAACACGACCCAGAGGAAGCGCACGACGTGCGTCCCAGCCGATACGCGCCGGAGGACGACCCAGAGGAAGCGCGCGCCGGAGGATGACCCGGAGGAACCACGTGAGCTGCGGGACCCATAGGAAGGCTCCCGCCTGACGCGTCCTCACAATTCACTCACAGACGAGGGTCCCGCTTGATACTTCTTCCAAATTCAGACCTGAGGAGCCCAAAAGTGACGACAGTTACAGGAATCCGATGACCCGCTCGGATTAGTAACATGATCTGCGGGCCCCATAGGGAGGGGGCTCCCGCCTGAGACTTGCTCGCAATTCACTGACAAACGAGGCTCCCGCCTGATACTTCCTCCAAATTCAGACCTGAGGAGCCCAAAAGTGACGACAGTTACAGGAATCCGATGACCCGCTCGGATTAGTAACATGATCTGCGGGCCCCATAGGGAGGGGGCTCCCGCCTGAGACTCCTCACAATTCACTCACAGACGAAGGTCCCGCTTGATACTTCTTCCAAATTCAGACCTGAGGAGCCCAAAAGTGACGACAGTTACAGGAATCCGATGACCCGCTCGGATTAGTAACATGATCTGCGGGCCCCATAGGGAGG